TCCGCATGCCTTGGTCGCGAATCACCTTGTTCAACTCTGTGTCCCGGCGGCTCTCCACGTAGTGGTTGGCATCCTCAATGGACTCACCGGCCAGCAATGCACGGCAGAAGATGCCTAAGAAAGCACCCCGGTGTCTTCCCTTGATGCAGTGCACCACGACGTTGTCGCCATGCCAGACTGTGTTCTTGACAGCCGGCCAAACGTCTGTCCACTGTTCGTTGCGTTCCTGGCTGTATGCCGCCGCGAAGGTCATCAGCTGAGCTCCCGGGAGGGTCACCCCCCCCCGGCTCTCAGGACCATTCGGGAAACAGCAGATCTGCAACGCTGTCTTGGGGAACTTGTCCACCGTCTGCCTCATTGGAAGTCCTGCCAGGTAGATGCCACCACCCTTCCGTGACGTCCAGATGCAAGTAGGGGCCTGGGCTGTCCCTGAGCCCACACCCAAGCGCTCCAAGTGTAGGTCCAGGGTGTCTCCGGCTGCTTTGCCACGGCCTTTCTTTGGCATGGCCTTGGTCTGTGGCTTCCCAGGAGCTGCCAGGCGCTTCGGCGTTGTGGCTGCAGCCATAGACTTTGCAGCTGTGGCCGGTGGCTTAGGTGTGGTGGCTTTAGCCTTTGGAGGTGTCTTGGGGGCTGCAATGGCTGGCGCCTTGGGCGGAGTCTTGGGTGCAGCTTGGCCTCGGGCTTTCTTGACAGCTGTGCGCATCACCTCTGCCATCTCGTCGTCTGTGGCACCGCTCGCCGCGGTCCTCTTCCGGCCAAATGTGGCCTTCTCCCCCACGGCTGCCGGCACCAAGGTGGCCGATGGCTTGGGTGCCGCTGGCACTGCCGTTGCGGCCAGCACCGCTCGCTTGATGTTGCAGATGCCTGCGCCGTGCTTGCCACCACATGCCCGTCCTGACTTCTGTAGGATGGCACACAAGTGCACTCCGAAGGGACAAGAGTCTGCCGGATTCGGGCACTCGTCCGTCTGGAATTCCGGGCAAATAGCCTTGCCATTTTTCAATGTGGCTGTCAGCACCTTGCCTTTGAGTTGATCAGGCATCTGAGGTGCCGGTGCTGCTTCGGCCTCTTGCCGGGCTTGCTGCGCCGCTTCAACGAACTGCTGTGACAACTTGAGCCTCTTCTTCACGTCCTGGAAGCTGTGTGCAGAGGCCCACATGGGTTGGCGGTCTTGTCGCAGCAATCTGTCGGCCTCAGTCAGGCCGTGAGCTCGGGCTGCATCTAGCTCTGCCTGCGGGATCGCCTCCCACAGCAGATTGCTAGTGAGCTTAGCTGTAGCGCCCCAGATCAGTGATTTCACCTTGACCGACGCGGCGTATTTGGCCGACGAATAGTGAAATGCCATTGCCCCCACCTCTGGTTGCTCGCTCTTGTTTTGCCAGTCACCCAGGGCTGCCATTTCTTCAGGCCTGCAGCCTAACAACTGGGCCACCGTTGGTGCAAGCCTCCTCCAGCTGTAGGTGGTCAGGTCTTCAGGATTGTCGAGGAACACGGACATTTCCTGTTGCATCGTCTCTTGCACTTCCAGGATCGTCCAAGGTCGCCCTTCGTCCGAAAAACAAAGGCCTGCAAGTCTCTGCCTTGCTGGTGCCAGCGTCCTGTATGCCTCCAGCACTTCCTTGGCCCAAAAGAAGCCGTTGGCAAATGTGGCCGGCACCGCAAAGTCGAATCCTTCACGAGCATGCTTTTGTTTTCCTTTGGGGCACCTGCAATGGAGAAATGCAGCTGTGAGGCGACGAGGTTCTGACCGCGCGATGTGCGCATACCTCAAACAGCCAAACGACATGATCCAAGGGGCCAGGAGAACTGACCACCTCTCATCGCCAACCGCGTGCAACTCCATGATGCGGTCCTCCAAAACCTGCACTAACGGCGGTTCCACCACCGGTGCTTGCCCACGCTGCCCAGTCGCTCTGGGTGTTGTAGGCACTTGCAAGTTTCCCAGCTCCAGGTCTTGGTCGGCATTCTTGTTCATCCATTTCAAGGCTTGGAGTGCTCGTGCTGGGGCCGAGGTATGGTTCAGGAACTGATCCAGGTCGACCATTCCGGGAGGAGCGGGTCGCCCCCGACTCTCCAAGAAGGCCCTCAGCTCCAACCATGTGTTGACCACTCGGTCGATGGTCGCCTTCTCTGCGTCCTTCACCTTCTTCTCGGCGATCCTCTTGCACGTTTGTTTCCATTCTGCCTTGAGGGTGTCTGTCAAGATGCCGGCTGGTTTGTATGCGCCCATCCCGACAAACATCGACACCAAGCCGTTCACTCGCTTCTGGACGGCTTCATCCAGGTTCTTGTCGACGTTGACGGCCTTGGGCTTCTTCTTGTAGATTGTTTTGCGCACAGGGCGCAGAGTGACGGAACCCTTGGGGTTGTCCTCCACGACTTTGGCCCCAGCGGCAAGGAGATGTTCTTCCACCCTTGCTCTTGTCTGCAGCCAGTCATCCGCTACGTGATGGCCAGCTAGTCCAACGACTTGATCATAGTCGGTGTAGGCATAGGCAAAGTCGTTGTCGTCCAGGAGGCCTTCGTTCTCCCTCCATTGACGCGCACGTTGTGCAGCTATCATCATCAAGGAGTCGGCTGCTCTCCATCCTGGTTCAGGGTCACCCCCTGACGAAGATGAGGCTGCCGCTTGAGCTGCGTAGTAGCCTTTGCCGCCTGATGCCATGGCACTGCACCCTAACAAAATTGCTAAGGTGCGGAGAGCAAAAAGATGCTGCGGTGACTTCAGAGGTGCCTCCTCTGTCATAAAATCAACCTGCAGCAAACATCTTCTTACGTCCTCCACAAGTGCTGCATGGCTCACGCCAGGTGAAGCAGGCACTACACATCCCGACGCAGCATGCCCAGCACACGCGCCTTGTGGGGTCCCCGCACTCTGTGCAGGCTGTGCCCAGCTGAAGCACGCCTGCATCCTGGCATTCCAGCCATCCACATAGCGCTCGATGTGCCCTGGCGCCTTCTCTCCCCCATGCAGCCCAGGGTCGCCCCCTAGGTGCTCTGGGAAAGTGGCGCGGCTCAAGGAAGACCGGCAGGAGCTCATGAGGGCCTGTGCATCTGAGCCAGCTCCTCCATTGATCGAACAGCTCCCCCAAGCCCAGTTGCCCAGCGTCGCCCGCTGTGCACCTGAGCTGCAACCCGTAGAGATCTTGGGGCACGACGTCGGCGGCCACTTTGAGCTTCGTGTAGGCAGCGACCAGCAGCAGGTCCATGGGGTCTTGGTGCTGGTAGTAGTACGCCCAAGCATCCGCAGGCGCCACATCATCGGGCAGCACAACTTCACGGCTATTCCACAAGCCGAGCCACGGGAACTTGAACCCCCCCACATGAGCTGCGCAACGCTGGCAGTCATCAAGGCAACAGGGTAGTTTCGGCAGGGGGGGGAAAAGCTCTGAATCTGTCCCAGTCGTGATAGGGGGAGTGCAACACTTCAATCCCATGCATCCAGCATGTGTATGCTGCCACGTCAGAGCCCTCCCGCGCCAGCCTTTCCACGTGGCCCTTGAACTCCAGGAAAGCAGCCGCATGGAGGATCTTCGCTTCGGTGGCCGCTGGGATATCGATCCCTGGGAGTTTGCGCTGCATACAAGGTCACCCCTTGTGTAGAGTTTGAACCACCCAATCAAGGTCTGGAAAGGTCACCCCTTACCAAGACCAAGAAAGAAAACAGCAATGAATGCTATTTTGGTTCAAGTTTACTTGAGCCAAAATGATAGCATTCATTGAAACACTTAAAGATGATACATGCACACCCAAGCCTGCCAAACTCAATGCATGGGTCTATATATAAATATTGTATATACATATAATATACTTATTAAAAAAAAATATAACTATTATATACCCTCAAGGGCCACAATTGTGAAGCAAGACACTCAGACTTTTCTACTGCTGGACAAAGTTTTGGCTCTCAGAGGTACCGAGCCTGTTTAGTAGGACTGGAGACCACGAGTAACACTGCCAGATGGGTTTTCGGGCCATTCCCTGCGGATTATTTCACAAAATCCCTGTTTTACTACAATGGGAAGCACTTGTGTGTCCAAAAGCACGTTTTTACCACAATGGCAGCGTTCCTGAGATTTTGCTTTTGGAGAACATTAATCATTATTCTATCTCCCACCAACGTTTCTCAGGAACCCTGTAATTCTGGTGCAGTTTTTGCATCCTCGTGTTCCTGGCCTCCATGTTCCCCCTACTAGGGGGCACGTGACATAAGCTTCCTCCCCGGTTCCTGGTGGGTATTCCGGTGGTCCGCCTGGCATGACTAGAAGTGCAAGTATGTGCAACCATTGTTATGTCCTAGTCCTAACACCCATTATGTGGATAGCTCATCTCCCTTTAGCTTCCACTCTGAAAGCCTATCATGACATGATTCCTGATAATCTGGTAGGTGGCGATTGAGGGAAAACTCAGGCTGGCAACAGAGCAGGCAAAACCCAGCCCAGCATGCAAATGGGACCGAATGGGCTTGAATCGGTGTTTATTGTCACTTGCACCGAGAAGCTCTATGAGGATTTTTTCAAGTGGCTCCTAAGGTTGTACCCGACAACAAAATACATACCCAAACATTCGTCGATTCAGGTACCCCGCAATGACATCTAACATCCTCCTCCCATTCATGGCCACCGTAGGTGCTTGTCTGAGGCTTTGTGCATTGCTGCGCAGCGAGCCGCAGCAAAAGCGCAATGAAGCAGTTCCAAAAAACAAGATCTTTTGTTTGCAGGAAACATGCTTCATAAACTGGACACTTGTAATAAATAAATAAATAAATAAATGTTATATATATAGTATATATATATACATATGCACATACAATATAGTTATTTTATAACTATATACAATATATAACTATATGCAATGTGTATATATATATATAACCTCATTCCAATATTCCACATGGGATATAGAATCCAATAGTTGGACCTACCAAGACATCCTGCTATCTGTTGGCATGATCCTCCAAATGGGGGGTTTACCGATTTGCAGTCTGAAAGTCCAGTGGCCAAGCACCGGCCTTCTCACAAACGCTGATGCTCGCGTTGAATGCCACCACGTTGAGTTGGACCCCTGCGCAGGCAGCGGTAACGGGTAACCCTTTGACAGGCCCTGGCAAGGCATCTTGATTCATGGGTGAGACTGGAAATATCGTTCTTTGGGCAATGGAACCGCAATAAATTGCAATGTTTTTTGTTTGGGGGTGCTTTTTGGGACCCCTCAATGAAACAACACAAACTCTTGCAAGGTTCGCTAGAAGAACCCTGTGTGAAAGTTGGAGTGTTTGGATTCTTGACCCATCCCACAGAAATAAGGCTGGAAAGCAAAGAATGCTTGAAATCTCTCCCTCTCTCTCTATCTCTCTATTGTATTATAAGTTGGGTTAGTTTTGCACCAATATATAAATTTACTAATTAGTTCGATATACCTACCATAAATCCTAGAATTCACCTAGTTACAAACCAACTGTCGGACAATAAAGGGCACATCATAAGCCAATAAGTGGTGGGATTCCCGCCACTGTCTATGTACAAGCAGCTCAAGCCTTGATTGACGGCCGTGGTCAGCAGGGACAGCGCCCATTGCCACAAGGCATCTTCTTCTAAAGAGCTAATGGCAGATGCATAGGTCACCTGATTCTCAGTGGATGTACAGTGAAACCACTGTTTAAGAACCTACTGCAATAAGAACTTCAGGGGCTGGATTGCTGGATTCAACGCTTTCTGTCAGCTAATTGAAATAAGCATGGCGGAATATCTGGCCTATAGCTCTGTTTGGAATGCCTGCACCTGAAAAAACTTTTCGGGACCTAAAAAGTTTTTTCTTCCTCCCGCCTCCTTTGCAACCTAATACCACGCCAAAATGAATTGGCAAAACCCTCACCATATGAACCTCTTAACAACGAACCCGTTAAGAACTTGAGGGTGCCCTCGTTCATAATTCTCATATTTTCCCCCTATAGCACCTAAGAACCCGAGGGTAGGCTGGAAAATTCTTAATTAATCGGTTCTTATCTAGCGGTTTCGCTGTACTCCGAAATCGGCAGGAAAATGTCACTAAAGGAAATTGAATCCGAGAATGTCAAATGAGTATAAAATTTTAATGACCTATTTCAATGATCACTTTTATAAAAATTCCAAAAGCAACAAAGATCCGTCTAAAGTAAAACCTGCTGGGGAAACAAAAACATGCATTGGTACCTGCGCTCAATCCAAGCGGCAGGGGCGGCCTTCCACACAAATGGCCGGTACTTATCCACTCATTGGGTATGTTGACTTCGATCTTCATTCATGTGTTTATGCCAGTTTATGCTTTATGGATCTAGTACTGTATAGGTATATGTCAAACAATTTCCATTTATTAGTGTCACCTCTTACGGACAAATCCCACACAACTGGCTGCTTAACCAGTTTCCATGGCACGCCCCAAGGCCCACAACGGCCGGGCCACAACTGTGGGTGCGGGGAACTGCACCAGCAATCGAAGGGCGTGTTGCCACTGACCCGCTCGTTCACATGCACTTACCTACCAAAAGGTGGAAAGACGTTGGCTGGCAGATCTCTTCCAAGATGGCTGATCTATGGGATTTACTATGATTTGCATGATCTCACTGAACACAAAAAACAAACATCATACTTTGGGACCGTTGGTTTGACCGTGGTTGGCCACGGAAGGAATGTGAAGGAACGTTAGGCAATCGAAATTCACAAGTCTCTATACTGCGAGTTCAATTCCAACTCATTGCGCACGTTTGTAAAAGACATAAATGCTGCCAGGACTTGTTTTCAGAAACGCGCAATTCACCCCTGGATCCATGTATGCCACTATCAGGTAAATAATTGTTCTGATTCGACCAAGGTTGACAAACTAATTCACCCTAGTTCTCCGCAAAAAGATCACTAAGCAAATCCATGGCTGACAGCCGCATTGACTGTCACGACGTTGGGCTCCAGCTGTGGCATTTCTTCAATCATGGCAAGCCTGAGCTGATGAGGGAGATGATTCCTGCCACCCCCCCCCCCAACTGATACCAAACCAGTTGTTGTTTTTCTTGGATTCATGTGGCTGAATCATGCTGAATCTTGGCTATCTACTGAGCCCACATTAAGACTTTTCGCCAAAAACTCTTTGGAGATCTTGGAGAAGTAATTGCAAACATGGCAGTCAAATCAAGGAGTCTTCTAGTGGTGCCCGGGTGCCCAGATAATCGGCAAATAAGATACGGCAAACAGTGAGATTTGCAGGAACTGAAACTGCAACAGTCATGGCATGTCATGGCCACTGTCATGGCCATGCCTGGATATTTCGGCAGAACGGAACCTCACAGGCTTCCTCTGCTAAATTGACATTTGCTCCCAATGCCCTCTGGTAGTCACACCATGTCACACCTGGATTGGGAAAATGGTCCAACTGGCCCCTCATCAAAAAAACAGGGCTTCGCCGATGATCAAAACAAGTGCAGTATTTTCTATTTTTCATTAAATTCATTTATTTCCCTTAAAGCATGATCAACTATGAGGCTGTTCTGACCATGTTTGTTTCCGTCACCGGGTAGCAGGGGAAACACACCAAGCAACAGGGCCAAGGCGTCTTCCCAACGGCTGGAAGTTGCAAATGCACTCATCACCTTTTCCGAAGGGCGCCGTGGTGCCGGGCTCTCGTTCACGAATTTTTCGCAACTTTTGGAAAACACTTTCGGGTGGTTCTTTTTGAACACCCCAAGGCTTGGTGGTTTCAACATGTTTCAACCCCTTCAGCAAACATGTGCCATCTCTTGGGTAACTTATCCTAAGTTGCAGGGCCCAGAAGAAAGTAATATCATCTTCATGTGTACAATCTGCAAAAGCGATAGTTGAATCTCAGTTTATTTGTTTCAAACGCCAGCACGAACAAGTTCAAGCATCACAACGTCAAAAGCCCAGTCGCGGCACTATAGGATACAACATCTGCGCGCGGCTTCCCTTTCATTTCGCTGCACATGTCCTGCAAAGCCAACGCTGCGACCAACGCTGATAGGGTGAAGACAATGGCGGACCATGGTGGTTTAACCTATTTCAACCATTTTCAACCTATCCAAAACAGAGTGAGACGATGGGTGGACCATAGTGGATCATTGGACAAGCCATGTACCTGAAACGTATCAGTGGCAATCGGCCACGCCATGTCACAAATGCGCAAAAAATGTTCTCTTGAACTGAATGCTTATCAACTTGTCTTCTTCAATTCATCACCTGATTGATCATTTTCTCTTGCCTGGTGGTTATACCAGCGGCCCAATCATTATATAATCATCCCAAGCGATCGAATGACTGGTACCGGCAAACGTCCAGTGGGTTCATCATCCCAAGTTGGAAATACCATCTGGCAATTTCACATCGCTATTGAACATGGTCCATTTGATTTTGCTATTTAAAAAGGTGATTTTCCATAGCATGATGCTAGTTTGCCAGAGGGTAACGGACAGTAATTGTATCTAAAGCACTTTGAACGCAACCAAATGAAATGATCCGTGGGAAAAAAGGCGGCCCGGTTGCAGTTTCCTGCAGAAGCATGGTTGGATGCTGCCAGCGTGCCACACAGGCACTGATGGTTGAGTTGTAAGTGATCACCTGCAGTGAGGAAACCCATCATTATATGGGTGCGTCCGAACATGGGACAAAGAAGCATCCAAATCTGATCATTTTGTGCAAAGAAACAACTGATGAACCATCAAATTTCGGGGTTGCCCTATTTTCAAGCAGATCCACAACGAAATAGCTATAGGCCATGGATCAAAAGCCTGGTACGCTGGTGAACCTCAAAATTGCTGGCAGTGAATCTTCACCAAATTTAGCCATTGAAATTGCCATAAGGTGGGTTCCCACCATTTGAGACAAACCCAAGTAACCCAAGTATCATATTATTGTTGGTTAATGATATCAAATCACCATATCCTCATCATACCTTCGAAATATCCCTGTGATACCCCATAATCATAGAAGGTTAAACCCATATAATATCATATAGTAAATAAGAATGACCATAACATAGATCTATATCATTTTATATTTCATAATTTTGGGTCATATGTCTATTACATCGCCATCACACACCACATTCCACCCCACTCTCCCCCACTCTGCGACCGCTGGACATTGGGCTTAGGCCCCTTGGACCCGGCATCCGCTGCATCCGCCACGTGCCACAGAAATTGCAAAGCCTGGTCCCAGCTGCTCGCTTTCTCACAGCCAGCAATGGTTGCGCTACCTGCAGTCTGGAGCCATGGTACCATGTACTCAGTGTACTCCCACCCAAGAGACCATACATTTGGGATGATGTTTGCATATCACAACAGGCACATATATTTTCACATATATGGTATTCTAATATATCATAATATATTATAATATATTAATATATATTGTGATATGCTATAATATGCTATCATAATCTATAAGCATATATCATACATTTACAATCTCAAGTCCAGCACACCAAAGGGGAGTCCAACCACCTGAGAGTGATCAAGAATTTCGTCGACGCCCAAGTGACAGGTGACCACATTGGGTTCCATGGACTCTGCCCTCATGTCCTTGTAGGACCTTGGAACAAATCCCAGCGATGGAAAAAACACGGTGCAGATTGGTGATGGTCGTCCTGATGATACCCTGTTTACGGGAAGGAAACAAAGGAACATCCAGAAATTAGCATACATGATTCGATATGTACACTTATTTTTTTTTAAATATAAATCATATGATATCATATGATTATGGTGGCTTTGGGTTTAAGACCGGACGGATGACCCTCTCTGCGTGGATAAACCTGCGTGATGTGCAACAGACATTCTCCCGCTAGTGAGGTTCTCTACAATGGTTACCACAATCCTCGAAGACCAAAGGATGTCCATTGCCTGTGATGGTTATATAATCAAACAAACATATTGCCTCTCTTGTCTATTGTTGATTGGCTACGTTAGTATTTTTTTCTTTTTTTCTTTCTCTCTCTCTCTCTGTCTACATGTCTACCTAAGTCATCATAAGTCTACATATTGGAAAGCAACCAATCTTATTAGTCAGTGGAGAAGTTTGCAAGCACCTCCTCTGGATTTCTTTGTTCAAATCGCAATTTTCACCATTGAAAAACGTTGCCACCGATCAATTGACCATCACCACACCGGTCCAGCTACTGCAAAGCCGATCGCCACTGACTTGCTTTCTGGTATGAACTGATGCCAGCGCTGCCGGTGAACACATTCCTGAGATGGGTCTGTCTGAAAATGGGGCGTACGGTATACAGAAGGATCATTTTAATGGGGAAAATCATGATCAACCAATGGATCTTGAATGATCTTGGGTGCCCTCTTTTCAGACAAGCCCAGATGTCTAGTGACCAATAAACCTACTGTAATCACGACTCTGAATTGCGACAACATGTCTGTTGACCTGATGACCTGACAAGGCACGGGAACTAGGATGGAGGTGGAAAACCATTTCTTGCCACATCCAAAAGTCAAGTCAACGCAAACAGTTGATCTATATAAATATAATACGCATGTATCTCTATAAAGATGCCCTTGAGCGATTCAGTATCAAATGGCAATCGGGAACCCAACTCTTTCACATGAAACTTATCATCTGTGAACTCTGGATTTCCAGGCTGCCCCAACACGAAACGTCATCTTTGATGGACCAGTTTCGTTTCCACGGAGTGTTTCGCTGCATCGGCTAAAAGCCGACAGGCTTGCAGCCATTCCCCGCAACCTGGGAGGGCAGCTTGGTCGGCAACTCACCCGACAATTGAATATCCTACAAGGTGGGCCCCCCAAAATAGGCAGGTTGATCTATAACTTATAAAATCTTAAAAATACTTACTCTCCCCCTCTCTCTGTCTCTATCAACATCTGTCAAGATTATAGACTGCAACTGGGATTTCTGCTCGAGACATCTGCAGCTGGATGGGTTTGTACACCAACTTAAAACTGGGGAGTCCTTCTTTGATCTCTTTGTATAGTTCGTTGGGGATTCTCCATTTCAACGTTGGCTTAGCTTAGGACACTGCAATGGTCCTGACCCTGTTGAGTACTTTAAACGCTCCTCCAGGATGGAACTTTCCTCCGGTCATTGTTTGCATGGAAAATGGCTCGTTTGTTGATGATTTACCTATTAAACATACTGGTCTTCCACGTTAAATTGCCAGAGGGTAAGTGGGAACAATATGGATCAACCAACGAATAATTTGTCCTGTCTGTGGCTTTTGACTTGTGAAATTCATCATCATGGGACCCTTTTCCCCTTGGAAAACCGTCAAGTCACCCACCCATACCATCTAGCAACCTGGTTCGGGAACCATTTCAATTATCAAAAATACTCCCTAGCAAAATGCGGCTTTGCTATGGTTTCCACACCAGAAAGAAGTGAAACAATCAACTGTCACCAGCCGTAAAAATCAACCGTCATCAACCCTTGATCTTCAGACCTTCGCAGGCGCTGATGCTGGAGGTGAAGGTCATGACATTGGTTTCGAGAACATCGGCCTGCATCACCTCGAAAAACCATTTGGACATATTTGGATCACCTTCCCACCACATCACAGGGTAGTATCCAGGTCATAATCCGGTTCTATGTGGACTACCCCCACTTATACGATATTATATGGGTTATATATGGGTATGTATCTGATCTGATTTGATCTACTCTCCCTTATCTCCTCTCATGTGTATGTCTCACCACCTGCAAAGGGGGGAAGTCATCCCAGAAGGCTGCGACTTGGCATAACCAACACTGGACTGGATCTGACTTAAATCCAAAGGGCTTTGCTGTATGCATCCAGAAAAGGTCTATACGGCTAGAGTTCAGAATATCTGGAAATACATCTCATGGCAAATATGAAGATATGACACTTGCACCAAAATTGTCGCCCCAGCGTGAAACTCATCTTCTAAGTTGTTTTGGAGGAGATTCTAGGCAATCGCATTTAGTTGCAAGAAAGTTAGGGATTCGCTTGCCAAGAACTTTGATCCATATGAAACCACGAATGTCAATTCAGTTTTTAGTCCGGAGTCTAACATCCTCCTATTTTTTCGGGCTCCAATGACTTGAAACATACCCAAGCGCCCCCCTACAAAATAGATACCAGAACAACCCTTTCCTAGAATGGTACCGTTATAGAGTGTTCTCACACAAGTTCCAATTCCAGCCATGAGCTCCCAGAACGTCACCTCCCAAATCCAATGGATCATCAGTATCTTCCGCCGCAAATCAAGCTGTATGGGAGTTCCCTTTTTTCAGACAGACCCAAAATGGAAAAAATATAAAATTGATTTATATTAACACTCCTGAAACCATCATTTATTCCATCATTTACTGAGTTCAACCAAGTTAAACCCTCATCTTAAATTCATGTAAATCCTTTTTATACCAGCAAAAACTAAAAACCCACAGAAATCCCATTGACGATTCCCACTTTTTTCGCGATTTAACTACATTTTTCCTTCAAATCACCAGAAACAACTCCAGGGAATTCCCCTGCCCCAAGCGCTTTGCCGCGGCACCCGCATCAGCTGCAGCGCCCCGGGCCACTGCTGGGCTTTCGCCAGCGCGGCCAGGCTGGAGCTGCCGGAGATGAGGCTGGGCTGCAGCGACCTGGGGCATGGCCTGGAAAATCCATGAAAATCCAATTCTAATTGGAGGCTTCAATGTGAAATCATGGGAATTAGGACAATAATTCATTATTGGGACATCATCTATAAGTGGTGTTGTCATGGGTACTATACATATATCCATATATATATATATACACAATCACAAGCTACATGTTGTTTTATAATGTTATGTATATATATATATAGGGGAAATCATCGAACTAAATGGGGAATTGTCCATTGCCACGTTAGAAAATGTGAAACGTGGGGAACAAATGTCAATTTTTGGTGGATAGATGGTTTGGACAGATGGAACAATAAGTCAGAAACAACCCAATCTCTTCAGTCGGTCAAAATATGAACATCTCAAAGAGTTAGTATGTAAAATGTAAAAAAACGGCGTGCCTTTCTGAAAAAATGGAACTTTTAGAACATGATGATATAATTGGTAAGAATTGCAAGCCATGTTTGAATTGGTACAAGTGGACACGTCTCATTGAAAACATGAATCTGGGTAAAAATGGGACACATCGATGTAACATGAGTAAGTGAGCACGTGTAAAACAATTTTACTTTGATTAACACAATGCCAAAACAGGTTGGCAGAAAGGATTGAACCCACCATCTTCCGCGAGATAATTATACGAACGCAAGATTGAAGAAACAGGGTAAACATACATGGATTATCATCGGTCAGGTGGTTTGGCCAACCAAAAGTGATAATGTGGCAGTGATCAGGTGGCCGCTGATGATGGGGACCCAGTGGATAGTAATCATGGGCGCAACCCAGTTGCAAGGAGCTACCAGCCAAGGGCCGTGAAGAGTGCATAGCGGGTAAGTGGCCAGGACTGATGAATGAGATCCAAGCAGCACTGGGTGCATAAATTTCACTCCTCCCAAGTTTCTCTAGCAATTGTGCTTATTCAAGTGGTAGCGAAAGTTCAGCGGTCAAGAGCGAAAGGGCTCCCAAAGTAAACTCCCAAACCATGCAACAGCAATCACAGTTCTCTCATCTAAACTTTACCTGGAGTGAGGACTCCATGAAGTTTGCAACAAATACCACTGTTCTGGGGATTTATTTGCGCAGGAGCACCTGCAGGGGCGTGAACCTTCCATCCCCTCCATTACTGCCGAAGAACTGCAGGGAAATTTCTGACAGCACCCGAAGTGCCGTTGACCATGCAGCATCCCTTCCTAGCCGACAACCGTGACATCTGGAAATTTAAAGATCTATTGGAGGCCCCCTCCCTTGCGCGCACAGTACTGTAGTGGCCCACACTCAAACAATCATTATTGGCACGGGTCCCAGCTACTGAGAAGGAGGCATCAACTTATTTGGGCAAAGCCTTGTTACCTCCGTGTTCAACTCATGAGAGGCAGTGACTTTGAACAAATGACTTGTTTTGCTTCTCACAGATTGGTGGTTTGCGCACATCTTAAAAAACCAATCCTTACATGAATCATCCTATCATTGGGATATGGGGAACAAAACCAACACCGAGATTGACACGGTCGACGACAACAAAGACCATGACTACCAACCACCACCCCACAACCACCACAACCACCTCCAAATGGCAGTGAAACCACCAACGATGTCTCCAAATCAGCTGGGAATCCGAGACCGCTGATGCACACATTGAAATGCACCACATTCCATTCGAGCCTTGCCTCGAATTGCCAACTGACACAAGCGGGCTCTGGGCAAATAGGGTGGGGTTTCATGGAATGGAATTTGGCGGGATTTAATGGAATTTATCGAATGTGCTTTTTGTGATTTCCCCTTTAACAACTTCAATCCTGTTGTTTTCTGCGAGCGCAGAGCTGGGTTTCGCACTTCTTTTGTTTGGTGGCGAATGCCAGTCACTCAATACTTGCCATAAGCCCCGCAGAACATCACCCAACTAAAGCACTATGACCATGACTGTGACTACAATCTCCAGCCATTCTAGTCGTGAACCTAGAGTCCAAAACTTTGAGGCTTGAAGCAGCATAAGCAGTCAACCTGTACGATTATTAGTTGGTATACGCCAAACTATCTTACCCTGAAGTTGAAAGCTTTGATTTGATCCTGAAAAGGCCAGCCATTGCCCGCATATTTTGGCATGGAACCCAAACATGGCCATGTTCAACGGGGAAACAATTGCAGTGTGTGCGTGTGTGTGGGTCAAAATGCCCGTTGCATTAAGCATGCCTAGAAACAACGAACAGCAAATCTATATGGTTTCCTGGGCCCAAACAAAAATAGGACCAATATGGACCAACACAATATATTGATATTTTAAGTAGCAAAGTTTGCTCATCATGGGGAAACACCAAGGGGCACTACCCAGTTCAAATTTCCAACCACCTGCTTTAGCTACTTTTCTCTAGGTGATTTTTCGTGGGAGTATCGTTACGCTTTGGCAGCCGCACTGGTTCATCCAAAGTCACCTCTTGCAAATCTTGCAGCTGAAGCAACGCCCCGGGCCACATGGCCCACCATGGCGCACCATGGCGACCAGGGGATCGTGAACCGACTGCTTTGAGGTTCCGGGTGTCACCGTGGGCTAAGCTGCAATGAAGTAGATGGAAACAATGGAAACAAATGGCTAGTTTGAAACAGGTTCTTTTTTGTTATATCGATGTATATCGATGTCAGTCTGCTGGGTGCTCAAATGGGATCATCTTCCAGAAAGTAACTACTGGTTGTGCTTGGCCACTTCTTCCATCGGCGCCATAAGGGCCAGGCGGAGCGATGAAGAGGCCAGAGTAGTTGGTTTGTAGCTGAAGTAGTTATCTCATCATATCGCATCCCTTGTACTTGTCTTGCCAACCTTCACTACTAGGACTTCTTTCTGTTGCTATTGTTTATGGCTTTTCAATGCTCTTGATCCGTCTTGGACATCTGGCATTCCACTCTATCTCATTGATCTGATCCAACCCATCTAATCCAGCTCACCCTGTCATCGCTCCTTATCAGTTTATAGCTCTTGAGTCACCAGTGGTTTGCAACAACTAAGGATTCACAAGCCCAAACGGCAAGCAACAAACATGGCAATTCTGTTCAAATGCCAATTTCAAACGGCAACTCAGGGTCGAATATGTCAATGATATGTCAATGATGAACTTCAGAACTTTTCCAGCCATATGGTCATATTTGATTATTCGAGGCTAGACACTCTTAGAAACATCCCAATTGCAGCCCGCAGAGTTTTTCTTCCGCCAAGCTGTTTGGGCCATGGGCCCTAGATTCTCCACGACCTGATGGAAATTCTCGGCACCTCTTCCATAAAAAAAGGTTCATATGATATCATATGTTCATATATTTTCATGCACACTACATATCACTATGGCCTATAGCCTACAGATGTCTAATCTATAAACAATTTTGAGTAAGCTGTAAGCCCGAGAAAACATCGCAACTGGGATGAAATGACTGGTTTCTTCCCTGGTTTTGATCCCTCACCCTTGAATTGAGATTAGGTGGTCAGCTTCCTTATCCCCATTTTTTCCGTACCTAGGCCCAAAGTTTTGAGGAGCACATAACGATGTCTCTGTCATGTTTTAGCAGCTGCGATTCCAACTGCTCACTCTTCGTCTGGATGCATATTTTTAACCAGCCCAGAAAATACAGTTGAGCCTTTGTTGGGTGAGCTCCAACATATCATTATGGATGGGCTGCTTCGTGGTCATTACCACTTACCCCGAAAATGCACTTTAATTACTTTAATCCGCCCCTCACATGATAAGCACCAGAAACCCTGGTTTAGCAGTGGGTCGATTCCATTCCCCTATTGTTACTGTAAATACCACCGATCCCCTTGTGTATTGGATCTATTCAGCCCAGTGGCCTGCATCTCCCCCAGCAGCTGCAAGAATTGCTCATAATCCCTAGCTTTCTCAGCAGCCCCTACTGCAGAAGCATAGGTCACCGTGCTTGGTGTCAGGGATCGCTTGAAGATACCTTGAACCTTGGCGTGGCTTTCTTGGCACCACATGACATGGATCTGGCTCTAATATTCGATTTGTGTTGCGGAAGAATTTCACCAGAACTGTTGGACCTAATCTTACTGGTGCTTTGCAGGGAATGAAAGAATGATCCACAATAACTATCAATAATCGTCCCATTCCCCCATTCCCACCCATTCCCTACTAAGCACCAGTAAGTAATATTGACATCACAATCATTCTGCCCGTGTCCAATGCCCAAAAGGCCATGCCTAAAGGCATTTCTCTGTGGCTTCCGCCACCTTCCACTTCCAGATTGAGATTTGCGGTGCTTACATGGGACCATCAAATAAAGAAGAATCCTGATAGGTTGCGGTATCCAAATTGTGGACATGGGAAAAGAAGCAACCCAGGGTGAGTTGCCCCCGTGGGCCACAGCTCTTGAAGACGCCACGGAAAAAACAATATATAGTTTTTGTTTCAGCTGAGAGCTGGGATGTTTTTTCAAAATGAAGCCACCCCTCCATTCATGAACCGACTGATGTGAAAAGGACATTATAAACAAAAATCAATCATGGTCTTAATCTTCATTTCCAGTGGCTGTAGATAACAATGCTACAGGAGGTACTCTTGTCTGCCTATCCACGTCTCATGGCAGTGAACCCCCACAATATGAATCTTCGAGACCCTGGTGGGGTGCATTGAATCGACTCATTTTGCGGTCCCATACCTACTGTGAATTGGATCAATAAGTCTAGATGTATAGCCAGTCAGTCAAACCCCAATTCTTGATGGTTATCCTCTGGCTTTTAAACATAGCTATGCAAAATCACCATTGATAACAAGGTAATTATGTAAACGTATGTTAGTAACCAGAAGCTAAGTCCCCATTTGTTTGCTGATAAATGCCCCGTTGAACGATGGTGGCTTAGCATCTCAGCTCTTGCCGTCGGGGAACCAACGTCAAGGTCCGCTGCCAGCAGCCAGCCCGATCGCAGGCACCCACCAGCGCTGAGTGGCTGTCCAAGGTCAACTGCAACATCCTCCGGAGATTGGCTGCAACCCCCCAGTTCTGTGTGATATGTCCCGATAACCTACTATGGCGGGGAAAAAAACCACCTTCTGACACACTGCATGGGTTTGGTTGCAAATAGATGAACATAGGAGAGTTGGGGAAAGTAGCGCCAAATTTATGATACAGTACGGCATATTCATAAGGACTTGTTAGCATCTAATTAGCTACATTTGGGGTTGTTTTTTTGGTCCAAACCTTTTGTTAGAGGGTACTTGGAGCACTAGGATATACTCAAGCTATCTACTGTAGGTCCATGTGAAAAAACAAACGGTTTTAACATCTTTGTTCTTTAGCTTTCACTGAGCGTTTGAAAGAAGTGCCGTGTTGAATTCGTGTTGCCTGAAGATTCAATATTTTCTCAAACACAGATCCAGGCATGGTCACGCAGCAAAAAATGGTACAAGAGATGTGAAGCGGCAATATGCCGTTGGATGCCGGTTGCCCCTAGGTGCTCAAAAAAAAATCATTATGTAAGGCAAGGTCCAGAAAGATGGGTTGCCTTGCACAAGCTTAGGTACATATCTCATATCCCGAAAAAATGTCAGTTTTATCCAGCTTTGGTGGGATAGGATTTATAGGCTATAGGATATTCCTCCGTTGGGTCCATGAAGAATCAACCCCTTGACCAGCTAGTTAAATCCAATGACTAACCAACCGGTGTACAAAGATGTAATGTTGGGACTGGGCTGGAACTGATGACAGCTGTTTTTTCAGGCTGTACTCACATCCACCAAATGAGACATGGACCAAATAGGCCCAAGTGCCGCTACATAACTTCCAATACCAGTTTTGTTGACGTATGTTCCGGTTTAAAGTCAATCAGGATCCCTTCGAGTTCCCTGACATGTACCAACCCTTGCTACCAACAACATCCAGGAACATCTCCCAGGTGCAGGCCTTGCCCTGAATGTGGCGCACAGAGCTAAAGCTTGTTTCCTGGCGATGGTAAATCTACAGCAATGAAGCGCTGTAAACCTCAACAACAAGTACAAAAAGAAAGGACCAAAACTAAGCTAGGATTTTTTACCACTACTTTTAGAGTTGGAACGTGTAGATCATACATAGTCAACTATAATCATCCGTGTTTTCCTTGATTCTAAGAGACCTGAGAAATCAGCATGGTTCGTGGACCCTCACAAGGGGTGATGTGCTACTTCGGCCGTGCCTTGTGGTTTTGGCACTTGGAAGTCTCTACCCCACGCGACCGTCTCTAAAATGGCAATTGTTCCCAAACGCTTTTCTCCCACACTTCTCTTCCAAGCTATGGTAAAGATCTGGAAAGCCATTCCATCCGCTGGTTGATCATGAAATTTCCCAATGAAACTAGTCATTTTCAGACACACCGAACTCATAACCTTGTTGGTTATTACACTTTCATTCTCTCTCTCTCTCTCTCCCTCTCTCTCTCGCCTTCTCAGGAGTTCAACAGAGCTAAAGGCGAGTAAGATTGTACTTTCACTATATCACCATTTTTTCTAGTTAAGCCATTATTTTAATTCACAATATAACCTTTATTTCAAAAACCACGTAGATAGCAACTACTCAATTCAACTGCGAGTTTCCACTCAGCTTCCACTTCGCAAGCCCTCAATCGTGGGTTGGCCGTCAGCACCTCCGAGAGGGTTTAAATGGGTCTAAGTCGCCTGGTGCCCGGATGGTACCCTAAGTCATAGCTGGTATAGCTGGATGGTGATTCCATGATTCCCCCAAGATGCTAATTTCATAGGTAACTTGACCCATCCCCCCAACACATAAAGCTCAGCAGGTGGAATCGTTTGGATATTCGCGGGTGGCAAACGTAAAGAAATGCCAGCTGTGGCAACTCCCGGATATAACATTTTACTATGTTGTCAAGATAATTAACATGTGGTTACATGTCCCATTAAATCGTGAATAAATCTATTGTATACGTATGTTCACTTCATTTATATATATATATATATATCTATAATGCTGCTAAGATCTGATAAGAACAAACACCAGTAGGACCAGTAGCTCATGTCAAATGAAATAAGTCAGTCAGGGCCCTGGCTTTTGCTTCCGGGAATTTTCCCTCGAACCTCGGTTGGAAATGCATCCTCAATGGACATGGCTTGTTGCCATTGGCCTGCTCTCCTCAGCCCAAACCCTGGTGTTGAAGGAAGAGACGCCAGCTTCCCCAAATGAAGTGGTATGACATGATTGGATATATAATATCGAATAATTACACCCTGTTCGCATCACAATGTGAGTTAAAGGGCATCGCACACCGTGCGCGCAAGCTATTGCTACTTTAGCATCAAAATTCCGTCAGCTTGACACCAATAAATCAAACGAATATTTTATCCAAAGAATCGCCACCAAAAAAATGGATGGTTGATTGCATGCCAAACATGACCAACTTTGGACCACCCGCGCAAACATATTTGTGGCATTTGGAGAGCCGATTAAGAGAGGACCGAAGGTGAAAAAGCAGCTTGTTACCCCTCTAAATTGGATTGTGAGCCACCGCCATCGCATTGAATACGGGACTCTCCAAAACTTCGCCAAGTATAGCCCAAGAATAACGCAGAGTGACTTTCAACAACTTCAACATGTCAACAAACACCTTCCATGGCCCCAATTCTACCCTAGGAGTGATCCAAAAAATGCTCCACCCCCTTGGTAAACTAGCATACTCCCACCATTTGTACCGTCTGATAATCAAACATGGCAATGGAAAATCCCCTATAGACGGAGGTTTTAACAGGAAAATCATCAATTGGATTTTCCAGCAAACCATGTTTGAATGACTGGAGGGTAGATCATATTCCAAAAGGGACAGTCATGGATTTCCATGTCTAAATCGCCTTGAGCCACAGCATCCCACAGGCGCTCGTGGCAGCTGCGCATGCAAAGCTGTTCGTTTCGATGCCCTGAGCTGAGCCACAGGATGAGTGAACAGGGAGAGCCATGCTTTTAAACTATATGTTTATACATTCCTATGGTAATGATATATTATATGTTTATAGATATATTACAATTAGTTTAGTTATATATATATGTATTGTACGCATACTGAAAAACACATGAAAACATATAGATACACAAACATATACACCAATAAACATGCATACACATGCAAATGCGAATATGAATATGTATATATATATATATAAAGAGTTATGTTATATATACATATACATATGTATACATTTACATATATATATACATACATATATACGCATGTATACAGCACCGTAAAGCAAGTTGGGATTGAACATATAAGAAAGAAGAAGCACCTGTTGAATGGTTCATGACCCCGGCCATTCAATCCGCGACTCCCCGTCAGCTTGATGTTGCTGGGGACCCCTTCTCTCCCAATTTGGGTAGTTCCGACCCGGGCACCACATTTGGGAGATTGATCAAGCTTTACTAATTCTGTTTTGAACATTCTCATATTCTCCTCGAATCATGATTTGGTCCCTAAGTCTCTTTTGCCACAAAACAGTTTTGGCTTGTTCTTTTATTTGACTTACACTTGTTATACTTCTCGTTTCTATATTGTTGAACATCTCTTATTGTTTTATTGAATAAAAATGGTTTAAGGGAAAATTAACATAAATTAACCACCTATATATTTTCATGGGGAACCCATCAGGAAAACCTATATTTTACATGACTTTCATACGACTTTCCCACGTTTCTACTGGCCAGCAACCTCACCTGCGTCTCCGCTTGGCGCAGCAGCAGCAGTGCACAGTACCACCGAGGCCTTGCGCAGATGGCAGCACCTCAGCCGACTGGGATGACCTGTCAAGATTCCTGAAACCATGGAGAAACATGAGGTAAATGGTTGTTAGTACATGATGGCATATGATATGGATGGTATATGATGGCAACAAAAATAATTTCTTGAGGTCAATGAGTCATTAAACGATGGTATATAATATTATCATTTATATATTATATTATGGTATATTCGCGCGCACATTACAAGGAAATCAACTGATCTACATTAGGCTTTAGCCATCAAAAATAACGATGCTTCAAATGACGAAACTGACCATAGAATGGGTTGTCTGGTCCGGTGGGAAAGCTGGTTGGCAAAGAAATCGAACACTTGGTTTCGCAGAACAAACATTGTGACTACCATTGGACGGTCACCTCGGACCTTAGCACATTGCATCTGCATGTTCCGTCAACAGGACCATGGCCGGGTCAGTTTTCCTGGAAGCTCTCTGGTTGAGAACTTCATTTGTAACCATACAGTTGGCCATAGTTGAGAGGTGGCTTGCTAGAATGCGTTCAGAATCAGTGATGCCGTTCTCATCAGAAACATCCAGGAACCAACCCTTGCATGACATCCCTTGCCAAGCATTCCCTAGAAAAAACTATGCAATAGCAAAACGAGGCAAGAGGCTTGTAGTGGAGCATTCCACTATACTTGACTTTGTATTGGCCACTGCCAAGTCTGATTGACCAGCACGGGGTGCATACAGGCTTGTCTCTAGATTGGTCCTAAATCTTAACTGCGAAATGTTACAAACAATCAAACACCAAGTCAAAAAATCAACCCCCCAAGATAGAAACCCCTCTTTTGTGGGTCCATTTTTTGTGCCCCTGATTCTCACCCGTCCCTAAAACAAAGGCACTGTAGGATACAACATCCGGCCTCACAGCAGCGGTATAACAAACGTCAAAAAGGAGATGCAACGCCAAGAGCCACGGCCCTGGTTTTGAAGTTAACGAACTCATCACCTTGGTGACAGGCTTGTTGGAGCCGTAAGCTTCCCTGAAAGTCTGAGAATGTTGGATTGGATACAACATATCTCCACTGGAGAATGAAAGTGAAACATGAACAGATTGCTTTGGTATCCGAAGCTGATGTAGGAAAGAACAAACTAGTGAATAAGTGAATTCAACCTAGCAGCTCAAAGTATCGTTGCATGAAACACTCCTCGAGTGTTCTTGTGGGTCCATTTAATTGGTGGTTCACCCGGTTATATCCCCAGTTATTAAAAAAAGGTTATCATTTTATTTAATATATATTATCATCAGTCCATGTATGATTGCGGCTATAAACAACTCCCCAACTGGGGGGAACCACCAAGTAGGGAGCCCCGCCCCATCCTGCGGCCTATCAGAAATAATCACTTGTGTTGGTTTCAGACCAGGATAGACCAGGGTACGTCATGAAAGCTTGGGAAAACTGCATCTATCATGGTTTGACTCATTGTATCATATTATAATGTGAGGTCGCGAAGATTCCTCACCTAAAAAATCTCGGGCTTTATGGCGGACCAAAATAACATCTGTTACTCTGCACATGCCCTAATCATCCCTAATCTATGTGGCTAAACGTCAACCAATTAAACAACGACAAAGGTGTATAGTGTTAAATG